CCTGCCGGGGGCCGCCTTGGCGGCCTGACTCAGCACGCCGGGCCGGGCCGGCCCCGGGAGGGCGCGCCCCGAGGAGCGGGGGGTGAAGGGGGGGCCGGCGGCGGTTGTCAGGGCCGGGAAGGGGAAAAGGAAGAGGGGAGGGAGGTGAAAAAAGCGAGGGAGATCCCGATTTTAAACCGTCCACTGGCAGCTCGGGGCCCGGCGCGGCGGGGGCCCTGCCGCCATCCCCGCCCGTGTCACACCCCGCCGCCGTTAACCCTTGTGGGGAGCCGGGCCGGGGGAGCGGCGGGGCCCGGCCCGGAGCTGGGTGGGCACGTCCCGCCGAGCCCGGCCTTACAGTAGGGAGCCGCACTTTGACCTGCTTGTGCAACCGTCATAAAGGAAGTAAATATAGTTAAAGTCAAAATACAACCTGCCTTTTAATAAATGCTCTCTTTTTGCCAGGCGCTGTTTCCGCCGAAAACTGAACTATTGGCTGAAAGATAAATGGTAGCATGTGGTAAGTTTTAAGCTTCAAATCGTGCCTCATTTCAGTGTTATAAAATAGGCTTTGCTCTCCGGTACTGGGTGGAACTGGGGGCTGGACTGGGCTGCACCTGTGGATGGCGATGCCCAGCACGGCCTGGCCCGCTGAGCGCTGACAGAAGGTGGAGACTCAGAAGAATAAGAGCTACGAGCTACCTGTGAGAAGGGATTGCCTTAAATAGGTCAGAGACAAAGTATTCTCTGCTTAGGGTTGCCCAAACATGGGTGTCAGTGCTTCCTGTGTCACGTATTTTTGGCCATCACTTCACTTGTCCTACTGTATGGTCAGTTAAATGGCTCTGCTCGCCAGTTGGCCCCAAGAGCGATGGGAGCAGAGCTGAAGTGCTGTCCCCTCCTTACCCTGTCCCCAGATACACCAACCTGTCTACAAGGGAGAAGCTGTTTGCCAAAAGCTCGCAGGGGAAAGATAAAAACCAAAAGGTGTTTGTTTTTAACATACAGGCCTCGTGTCTACTGTATGGTCAGTTAAATGGCTCTGCTCGCCAGTTGGCCCCAAGAGCGATGGGAGCAGAGCTGAAGTGCTGTCCCCTCCTTACCCTGTCCCCAGATACACCAACCTGTCTACAAGGGAGAAGCTGTTTGCCAAAAGCTCGCAGGGGAAACATAAAAACCAAAAGGTGTTTGTTCTTAACATACAGGCCTCGAATAATAGGGTGAGTAAATATCGTTAAATGTGAAAAGTCTCAGAAATTCACAGTTTATGGTAAGGGATGTTACTGTTCCAGTTCCTCGTGTCCTCTAACCTGCGGTAGAGTTCGGCTGCTGAGTAAAAATTACCCTGCTGAGGCTTTCCTGAGGCTCGGCTCACTTCCCTGGGTGGCATCCCGAGGAGGGACTGCCCAGCTCCTCCGAGGAGTGTTACATTAATCTCTTGTTCTCAACTGTTTTGTACTCAGAGCTTTTCTCAGGCATCAGTCGAAACTCAAGGGAGAGAAAGAAAACGCCCTTTCCTTCTCTGTGACTTTTAACTTCCATTTTATCAATTTTTTGCCAAATTACAATGCTGCAAAGTAGCTGTGACTTTACACCCATTGCTGTGGGTCATGTTGCCCGTTTCTTACACAGCAGGAATGCTGCTTCAAGCAGGGACAGTGCCGACCCATTTGCTGCTGCCAGGGTCAAGCACATTGGTAGTTTTAGCTGTGGTGGAATTCTATAAGCAACACACCAAAGAACTATCTGGAACAGGAGTCTGGTCGCATTCCTTCACCGGTGGAAGGGTTGATCTGCATCTTCTGCTTAAATTAAGGGTAAAAAGCTTGACTTAGGTAAAACTAGCCTGCAGGTGCAGAGTGGTTGCAGGTCTGTCTCCCATGACATCTCACTGGGAGTGCAGCCCAGCGCCGGGCCAGGGGACAAGGAAGGGAGGTGACAGGAGGGATGGCTGACACTACCCAATGGCAGCAGCGCTCAGTGAAGGGTCAGAGCAGCCTGTATTCCACTGCTCGTGTTCCAGGACAGCTTGAATGTAGTTTACAGTTGCATACAAAACTAGAAATAAAAACCTAGAAGTCTTCACGTCCTCGTTCTAACACTCTCTTTAGTGTACCATATGGCGTATCTACCATATTAGGTAAACAACTTTACAAAATTACAAGAGCTTCATTACAACTTGTGCATTACAAGTGTGTAGGATTCATTACTGAATAATTTATCTTTTCATACTCTCTGCCTCTTGTTTGACATCAGAAATAACTTTCTGGACTGGATTCTTCAGGACTGGGATTCCAGCTCCTCTGTACTGCTCGCCGCCACCTGTTTTACATGGTACTAAAGAGCAACTTGAGTAAGAATTCTAGTAATGGATTACTGGTAATTGTTGGTGTTGGTGTAGAAATAGTCAGGCTTAATATACTCTAAATGTTACGTATTTCACCCACCAGTAATGACATCAAAAGATCGTGAACATACAGGTACATATGGATTCTCTCTAGACATCCCTGCCAGGGATGGTTTATCGACGATATATCCTCAGACAACCTAAATGGTATATTAATACAACAGATATTCTAGTTCTGGACTGTTTCACAGTTGATTCAGAGCTGTTCTAGTTCTTCTCAGACCTTTCCAGCATCATTCAATATCTAATATTCTCCCCACTGGTCCTCACTGTTTACTTCTTGAGCAGTGCAGATCACTGATCCTATTCTAGATTCCAATCCTCTACCTCCCAGCGATTTAAAAAGAACAGACAAATCAGTTGGTTGCCTCCAGACACAAACTTGGTAGCCTGCTACAGTCAGAAGGCAGCTTTGATTCCGCCTACGGCTCTGCCCAGCTTCATCCCTGATGTATGGTAACGGTCACTCTTCAGAGGTATAGTTAGGATGACTTAACTAGAGATGGAAAGGCCACAGAAGAATTCCTTGTCTATGTCTCAGTACTGACTGTTTTCTTGTCACCGATGATGCCGTATGCACTGCTGTGCACTGCCTCCTCATCTCTCTAACAATCTCCTGTGTGTGAGATGAAGCCAAGAGCTGGAGGAGATGGGAACCTCAGTGGTGTGATGCTACTACACCCCCTGTTCTCTGCACCAAGAGCAGAGGGTTTTGGGCTCTTAAAGCTGGAACTCCTTAAAGAACTGAAGACTGCTTGATTTTTTCCAGTCAATACCATGATACAGCACTCTTAGATCATTACCTTTTTGTCCCATCAAAAAGAGTTTTTACTGGACACAGGTTTACTGATTGACTAATTATGGCAATCAGTGTGATCTTTATTTATATGCTCCCCTCCACTTGCTCACCTTCAAAAATACATAAATAAAAATTAATTCAAGAACTGAAGATAAATCATCTTGTTTGTCCTTGGTCAGTGCTAAGAGCAGGTACAGTTAATGCCACATCAGTTGTGAAACAGCAGTTGCTGTAGATGAGAACATTTGTCCTTTGGAATTTGATAGGCATTTGTTTTATCCCAGTGCCTCGAGACCGTAAGTTACAGGAACAGAACAGGACACTTTCGTTGTGGCTATGCCCGTATCTAAATCATTTGATAGCCCCATGGCACCCCTTTTTTAAAAAAGAGAAGTTATTTTAAAAAAGGATTGGGTGTCTGTCTGAATATACACATTTTAGCTCAACAATAAGAAATGTCAAATGAAACTAACAGGCTGAAAAGTTGGTAAAACTTCCAGCGTACGTACAACACGTAGGATAAAATGCAGATTCTTGTAGATTTGAACTGGGAGAATAATCCCATGCAAGCATTTCCAAAAGTCATCTTCAGATGACAGAAAGAGCTAAATTATTTTCCCTACTTCATCTCTAGTCCATAGTCTGCCAAATGCTCTTACCAAGCCTTATGGGATGATAGGATTCCTGAGAGCAACCTGCCTACTCTTAGTGACTTTATAAAGAAAAGACACACAAAGGAAGCTGAACTGGAAAGTCAGGGGAGACAGAAGAGGTATGGAAACATCATCATTTAAAGAAAAAAATGAAAGAAATCTAGTAAAGGAGATTTGTTTTGGTTATAATGAAATGAGATTGTATCTAAACATTTTATGGATTTGGAATGCAAGAAGTATGTAGGCAAGATTTTGCCAAGTTTTTCTTTTAATGACTTCTCTGTAATCACTGATTTAAATAAATCATGCTGTAGCTTCTTTATTGAGCTGCCTCAGACTTAATGAAAACACAGCACAAAAGGCTATTACACAAGGGTTTTTTTCTGAATTCTCCAGCAGTCTGAAATAGTTGGGATATGATTCCAGACTGTAGGTTACTTTCTTACACTACCTAAAATAAATTCTCACTATTGGAGACAGAGTTCAAGGACTTGCCCCTATTCCTTTAATGAGTTTGTGCTCATTTTTGAATCTCCAAACAAATCCAGTAACTCAATTAAATAGGGGATGTGTTCCCACAGTTGCCAGAAGAAACTAATACATGTTCTGAAGAAAGTCAGATGAATATTTTATCTCTCAAAATATAAGATGGGGAAAACTTCCAATCCAAAGGAAATGACACACCCAGATGGAGGGCCAAGTTTTTTATGCCAAGTTGTTCCTTCTTCTCAGTCTTGTCTGTGTGGGGTTACTTGCAATACTCGTCCATTACCACAGAAGTATAACAACATTGCTGTCACTATTACTTAATTTTCTAGCCAGGACAGTAAACCCATCCATCTGTGTAAACTAACCATTTACTAACGACCAGACAAAATGGCAGGCAACAAATATAGCATCTTGTTTAGGAAAGATGATTAGTTTGGGAAGTAAGAGACAAATTGTATGTTCTTGTGTCAGCAAGTCAGATTGTTTTTATGAAACTATAAAAGTTGTTCCTCTTAATTATTTTCAGTGGAGCAAACCAAGGAGCTAGTTTGGCTGCTCTATACAATGTAGTGGCCCAGTGAGTTCACTCACTCATTCCTGTTCCTTGACATGAAGCCAACCAAGTAGAGTTGTATGACTTGGCAGCCTGAAGCCATCCCTCTACACCCTCATCCCCAGCAGGAACCCATCAAACGTAACATCCTTGTGACTTCAAAAGCTGTGTGAAGTTGAGTGTGGGTGTGTGTGGGTATGATCATACAACACACTAGCTCTTACCCCTGCTCTGGTACCATCATTTCCACTGACTTAAAGAGAAAAAAAAAAGTCTGTGCAGGTCAAGTTGCCCCCTTCCTAAAGCTTTCCTGTCATTAAAAGAGATGCACAGAAAACTCTTGCAGTTTGACTACTGCTTTTAGGTGTTCTGAATTCAAACTTTTTAATTCAGAAGGATCACCTCTCCTAGAAGAGCCACACCATCCTCTTTTATACCTGGGTGGAGCAGCGAGGCACCTGCAACACACAGCGACTGAATCACTAACTCTGCCCTGTGAGACCAGAGTGCGTTATTATCATCCCATTACAGCTCAAGATAGTTATTTGAAGGTTATTCAGCACTGAGTTACTTTGGGCTTCCAGTTCTTCTCGTGCAGATGCAAACACCAGATTTCTTTCAGTTTAAAAGAAAAGAAGATACAGCGTTTTTTCTAACTCACAACCTCACCCTCAACTCTACTTGGGGTTCTTTCTGCTTCTTCCACAACAATTAAGATTCTTCAGACCAGTTTATGCTCTGAGTTATGCTTTCACAAAGCTTTTACCTTCACAATGTCTTACTAACGACTGTACATCCCAGGCAGCCTCTAGCAGTTTGTCACAGGTGATGCCACGGGCAGAGCAAATGCTGAGGATGCTGCTGAGCAAAATGCAGAGTCCAAGACGAAGATGTGAAGCTCCCTGGAAAAAAATTGAGCATGTTAATATGAATTAAGTGAGCAAATTGAAATTCCAAGTCTCAAACATTATTATTAGGGTTAATTTACAGTACAAAAAGGTGGTCTAAAAGTGCACTAACTAATAAAAACTTTGTCATGCATCAAGTAATGGAGGAATGAGGTATGAAGTACAAATAACACAAAGGCTTTGTAACAGTAAATATCAGAGTTTTCAGGTGGGAAGTGTGGACAGAAATAGTACAACAGTAAGGAGAAGCGTGAGTTAGAACTGACCAGCCAGAGAGGCACTGCTGTCTTATGTGAAGACTGATTTACAGTTTAGCTTCTAAAAAGTGAAGGAGATTAAATGCCAGTTTATTGTCACACTAAAATAAATTACATTCTGAAGCTGCACTAAAATCCAATTGCTACAAATTACCTTACTATTCTTGGTATCTTTTACCTAAACATCAATTAAAACCTATAAACTTTAAATTTCAAAGCCTGTTTAGTCTTATTTTAAAAAGTAAAATAACAAGCATAAAGGAAGAACACCCGAGTAGATAAAACAATGAGTGATAGATCACATCCTCAAAGACATTTCTGAAACGTGCTTTTTAAAACAAGTCCAAGAATAATTCAAGCTCTGCAAAGTGCAGCAGATGTTATGCAGGGAAGGACCAGCACGCTGCCGGGTCCAGGTGAGACGATATGGTACCTTGCTGAAGAGGCAGCAGCAGAATCTACTGGTTGTTTGTAAAACAGGTGAGGAGAGGGAGATTCATTTCTTTGGCTCAAGAACAAAGACCACTGTAGAGAATTAATGCAAATGAGGTCTCTCAACTAAAACATCTAATAAAGGGGCTCTTTCCTCAACGTTCTCAGCCCAGTGATGTATGTTGTCCCATGATTTGATTTCCACTGGCGAGCACTGGGCAGCAGGGTCTTGGTTCAAGCCCATTCGAGCCTCAGTGCCAATGAAATAGTGCTCAACACTGACAGCCAGAACATGTTCAATAATTTGTAGAGAGAGAGAAAAGTACAGAGAGAGAAGGAGGAGCTCTTAAAGAAACACTGCTATGGAGCCTTCTGGAATTTTAGCCAAACCCAATTAGCAAAGATAGATTTCTGCACAGGGAATGGTGAAATTTGCTAATCTGCAACATCCAGGGGGCTGAAGTCTGCAGTGAATACCACTTGTGCTCTCCAAAACATAGGATTTTGTTCTGAGAAGACTGTCCAGAGTGATGTATCAGGCTGTACTCCTTAGTCTCTCCACTAAGGCTACTGTCAAGTGTACCAAGTAGGTCAGTTGTGATAGTCTAGCTGTAACTTGGACTCTTTTCAGCCTAGAAGTGGATTTAGATCATTGGTTATCATTGCAACTCTTGAACCTCTTGGAAAGTTGGGCATGAACCTAAATATACAGCTTCTTATTCTCCCAGTTAATGCATAAACCTGAAACCCTACAAAATCTTTATTTGCAGACTAATCCTCTGCAGCATTTCACCCACCCCTCAAAGACAATTTTTTTGCCTTTCTCCATTTATTACCTCCTATTCACCTTTCAGCATGCTTTTCACTCTGCCTTTTACTTCATGCCTGAAAAACCCTTATGAAATCCTACTGTCATCCCATCCCCTCACATCAGTGCACCTGTGAAGAAGGATGCACAGAGGCTTGCAGCTCACTTCAGCACAACACTGCCCAAGAAAAAGCAGCCTATGCAGCAAAAAAAAACACAGTCAGAAATTTTTCCTAAAGGAACTTGGTATTTTAGGCTACGTTCAGTGCTCCCCACTGTCCTAGATAGACAACTATCTCTCTTTATGCCCTAATTATTTCTAAACTTAGGTCTGAATCCTCTTACTCATTTGAATGGGAGATAGATGCCTAAACACCTTTTTTAGAATCTAGGTCTGGCTTCTAAGACTTCATCCTTCCATTTTTATGACCAAACTGCAAACTTCAGCTTCATCAACCTTTTTTTTCTATCCCATACATTATCCATTTACCTGTCTTCATGAAAGGATCTCTAATCTCTACCTTCTACACCCGTGAATTAATCACCACCTAGCTAGCCTGGCTAACTTCATCTTGCCATTTGTGATTCAGAAAGCCCCCATTTAAAAGGCATGTGAACTTCTGAAACTGATCCATCCCCCCCAGGCTTCAGCAATGAAATGAATCACAACAGCAGACAGGATTTGGGGTTGTGTTCTTGGTCTCATGTCTAGGACTGAGTGTGGGTTCTTAGTCTCATTTTCCCAACTTGTGAAGTAGACACTGAAGTGTAGTGACGTGAGTGTGAAAAATCGCTGGAATCACAGTTTGGGTTCATTCTAATAAAAGATGTTATGCATGTCCAAGATATTTCAGTTTATAAAAATAAGTAAATGTATGTTCCCTCCTTACTCTGTTGCATCAAAAATGTCCCAAAGACTTCTAACCTCTCCTTTTATAAGCAGGCCCTGTAGATTGATGAGGTACAAACAGCAAAGACGGGGCAGGTCAGAAGGGCACTGTTGGCTTATGCCATAAATTTAAGTGGATATATTGAAAGTATCTTAAAAAACTGAAAAGTTTAGAAGTCAGACTGGTAATCTGAATCCCCACATGGTAATTTGAATCTTCCCCATGGAAGTGCTACACAAACAGAAAAATTACTTCTTTCTCCTTCCCCCTCTTTTCCTTTTCTTCTTGCTTTCTTCAGCTGGCTTTACATATTTTTTTCTTTATTCTACTTTCTCTGCTTTTCTTTATTTAGAAAAAACCACATAGATGGATCTTACTTTTTCCTTCTCATCTTTCCTGCATCTTTTTAGTTCTTTCATGTTTTTCTAGTCCCTCCTTCATTCCTGGGCTCTTTTCTACTACCCATTCCCTGCACCACTATGGAATTGTGTTCTGTGCTTGGTGACCTTACCCTCCTTCGCTGCAGCTACCACATTTTTCTTTGTAGCTACTGCTATGTTTCTAACTTTTCTTCCTCTAGGGCTCACGTTTCTTTCCCTTCCTTTGTATCATTTGTTTTGTTTGCCACACCCCAATTCAAATTTCCGTTCCACTTTCACCTCCTTCATTTTCCACGCTAGTCTCGCTTCGCTGCTCTTCCCTCTTCCTTTGGAGACCCCAGCCTTCCCTGTGCCACCTCTGGTGTTTTTTCCCCCATCCAACTCCTAGAATTTCAATTCAACCACTGCTACCATTAGCTGCCATTTTCCTCAGCAGCTGTGTGCGTCCCAGTAATTCCAGCTGCCACCAACTGCAAACATATCCCACTGTCCCCAGGTGCAAGAGGTGACGTTCAGTGTAAGTCACAGGTTTCTCGCTTAACTGCTGCGAAATGTCTTTAGATACATTGGTGGTCACCACCCCAAATGCCACTAGTTGCATTCCAACTGCCACAGGAGTTCCAGCCACATAGGTTTTCCAGTAAATGAACTAGCTGTGTTTGACTGTATCCTACCACCAGTCTCCAAAGACCACAGTCACCAGTGGTCCAAAAGGCTGCTCTGGGGAAACTGTGTCTGCTGCTATCACAAGGTGCAGCTCTGCTGGGTCTCTTCCCAGTACCGTGATGAACTGCAATTGGCTTCTTCATATGAAGCCAAATATTCCCTCTCCATATGAGGGATGCCCAGGATCGCACACTTGTCATGAATTAATACAGCAAAAGATGCCCTTTCATTCTCCCTTTCAACACTCAATGGATGAAGAACTGTATTTTTTAACAGTAAATAACACTAACCGGGCATTTAAAATGTGAGGTGTCATATTTCTTCTTGCTGATCACTTGTTATCTCTGATTGTTGTCAAACAAAATACACTGAGGAATTTCATTACAATAAGAGTATCTTCCAGAGGCAGGTAGATTTATGGCCGTGATGATTATAACTAAAGTTCTACATGTTTACATCTCTCCTTACCAGTGTGGAGGTTATGCCACTTTGGTGTATTCTTTTTCCACATCGCATTAATTAGCCTTCCTGCCAGATCCACGTTGCTGTATGGGAACATTATCATCTCTTTCTCTTTCCTGGCATTTAAAAAAAAAAAGTGAAAGGATAAAACAATCGTAACACCTTTTATTGAATACAGAAAAAAGTACTGGAACTAGTGCTCATGATTCAGGGACATATTGGTGTGCCTGAAAAAAAAGATTAGTTGAACTGAAAAACCCAGAGGATCATTTACCATTTCTAAAAAATATTTTATGAGCGGATATAAGGAATATCAAGTTAAATATATTGTGGAGCTGGAGAATATAAACCAAGAGAGGAAGCACTGCTTCTCTACCTTTGGTTGCATTGCCTACACTGATATAATTTTTCCTATTCAAAATAATTATTTGTGACTGCCCCTGAACAGAGCATTTTATTATTACTTCTCACCCTATTTTTTTCTCCATTTGAACTTTTCCACATTCTTACACAGGACATTCCTCATACAGGGGAACTAGATGGGTTTTTTCATCAAGGAAGTTTCTAACCAGTAATTTGCCCGCTAAAGGGCACTGTTTACTGCAGTAAAAAAAGAATCTTTTCTTGCTCTGTATAGCTTATACTTAAGGCTGAGCTAAAAATCTAAAAGATAGACTCTAAGGGCTGACTTTCTTATTAAAAAATATTGTTTGCCCAATGAATATATATAAAAATTATTTTTTTTTTTTTGCAACTCTCTCCATGCTAGAACAATGACAATTTAACAAGACTGCACGTGTGTCTGTTAAGAGAGAGAAGGAAGGCATCTTCCCTGTGTGGCCAGGGAGATCTGCTCTCCAGCCTGTATAAACAGCATGACGAGCAGCACCATAAAATACGTAAGGTCACAGGGTGGACAGCTTGGGGCGTTTGGAGAACAGCTCTCTGTGCCATCGTGCACAAGGGAGCCGGTCGTGCTGACACGAGGATAAACCTGTGGACTGCATACCACTGTGTTGCTGTTGTGTCACTGCTGGAAGGCGTGTAACCAAGGCATGGGCACGTGCAGCTCCAGCAAACCTCTTTACATGTAGACAATGGCTCCTGCTGTATTGTTTTGTTGTTGCATTGTCCCTGTTGTATCACTGATGGAAGACATGTAACCAAGGCATGGGCGTGTGCAGCTCCAGCAAACCTCTTGCCATCCAGACAATAGCTCCTGCCGTAAGGCACTGCTGTCCAGCTGCTGGTTTTGAATCTTAACTCATTTGCGTCACACAAATTAGTGAGATCTGTGCACTCTGACCTGCTGCCCCAAAATGTAACTGCCCTGCCCCATCCCCATCCACCCTCAGGTTGGTGACTTCACCTCCTGCGACTATGGCTGCCAGATGCTACCGGTTGTCTCTCATTGACCCGCAGATGGCCGGGGGAGTCCCGGGAGACGCTGCACTGACAGATTCATTCTCCAGCTGCGACCTAGCGTTGCGGTCCCTCGGCCGCCATCGGTGCAAGGGGGTACATCCCCTCCCGCCCGCTGAACAAAGGCAGGGTGTGCACCTCAGGGGGCAGGCCTCAAGGCCTCTGCCAGCGGGGAGCCGGGCTCCTCAACGCCCCCGGCACCGGTGGGAGGAGAAGCGGCTCGGGCGGGAGGCGGCCACCCCTGTCCCTGTCAGAGCGGTGCTGCGGCGTGAGGCCAGGGGAGCCTTGGAGCAACCTCTGCTGCAGAGACCCCCGGGGGGCCGGCGGGGAGCGGGCTGAGGTGAAGCGGCAGCGGCTCCGGCGGCAGGGAAAGGCCCCCTCCCTCAGCGCCCGGCTCGGTGGGGGGGTGCGGGGGGAGGGAAGGCGATCACGCCCCCCTCCCACCTCCCCCGTCTTATGTGACAAAACCTCTGCGACACGGGCGACCGGGCGGTGACACACGGGCGGTCTCCGCCACCGACGCGACGCGGCCCGTCCCTGCCGCCGGGCGGGGCCCGCTCCCCTCAGCCGCGGCAGCGCGGGAAGGGC